TCTGCACAGAACTTGCTGGCTTCTCCGTGCTGGAGCCGACGAAGGAGACAGCCTCGAGCCAACTGGGACGACCAGCTTGCGCCCTGCGTGGCAAGAGGTTCACGTGCAAAGGGCATCGAGAAGAAGCCGGGCGACTTGTTTTGCTGTTCTTCGCACTGGCACATCGAGGCGGGACTCCGCGGAGGGTCGGCGGCGCCTGCACGTGCTGGTCACGCCTATGCAGGGTAGGCTCTCGGTGCAGGGGCACCGTGTGCTGCGCCCAGAGCCTCATTGCAGCGTCACTGGAACCACTGGCACCACTGGCACCACCCCTGGCACCACTGGCACGTGCGAACTTGCGGGAGGGCATGTAGTTGGACGGGAGCGGCGGGGGCCTTTGCTCCTTGGGTGCACAGAGAACCACCTGCAATGTCTCGACTGGACGCCCAATGGAACGTGCACCCTCCTCTTCGTCCTCAGCAAATGGCCCGGGCCAAGCTAAGGCAACCCCACCGGGATCTGAGAAGGCCTCCGAAGAACAAAGGACTGCGAGGAGATGTGAGGAGAGAGCGCTGTCCAACGTCGAGGCCTTGCTATGTCCAGGGCAATGCCAGCTTGGTCGGCAAGTCCGTGGGGGCACTGCTCCGTGCTTGCGTCACTGTCAAGGCTCCCCCTGCAACGTCAGCATGCTGCGTGAGTCACGTGAGAGCCGGCCAGCAAGGCCACCAAGGCCACCAAGGCCACCAAGGCCACCAAGGCCACCAAGGCCACCAAGGCTCGTGGAGAAGGGAAACTCAGGTCTCTGTACCGTCACAAATGCCGATTGGGCGAAGGCACTATGGGAGGGGAAGAAGGTTAGACTGAAAAGGGGGATTCAAGTTCAGGGCAGGGCTTACAATTTCCTAAAAAAAGCTTACAGCTTGGGGCTTTGGGTTCGACACGTCGATACTGAAACACCCAGGCCTTACCTTCCGGAGACCCTGTGGTGTTTAAGCGGGGGCACCAGGTTACAATGAAAAACTTTGAAACGAATAGAGCTTTGCATGTTGAAACTCGAAGCTCTCTGGACTGCTGGTGTGCAAGTTCAAAAAACTATGCCAAAAGAACCGCTCACAGTCGAGGGCAAGGCCCGGAGAAGTTAATCCAGGCTCCGGGTCTGTGCACGCCGAACAGCAACACCCTCAACACCCTCAACACCCTCAACACCTTCAAGCCTACTGAACCTACTCAGCCTACTCAGCCTACTCAGGGCCAGGGGTTGCTCAGAACGTGCAGGCCCACATCGGCCTTTCCTTAACAGGCGGGTCGGCAGGCTTTACCAGGCGCTGCAGCTGTTGCAGCCGCTGCAGCTGTTGCAGCTGCTGCAGCTGTTGCAGCTGCAGCAATGTGCAGTGCATGTCTTCCGGGAAGGCGCGAGACTGCCAGGGCCGCGTCCACAGCGCCACATCACTTTTGCAAAGCTTCAGGCCGGAATGAGGAATCCGAGGGGCCCGAGGGGCCCGAGGGGCCCGAGTGGCCCGACTTCGTCAAAGAGCCACTCGACGGCAACACGCGCCACACCCGTGACACTCGTGCGTCACGTCAGGAACTCAGCAGGGGAGCGAAGACGAAGTCATAAGAAGCCTTTCAGGTATTGGGGGACTGTGTGGCAACTTCCAGGCCACAGCTGTCTGACACCGATGCCGCGCCGTGGTGAGCTCCCTGCAGGGCTCGCTCTGCAAGCTGTGCAAGCAGCGCAAGCGGCGCGTTCGCACACCCTGCCGCTGAGAGGCAGCAGGAGAGCCAAGAACATCCTCTTGCGCCACTTGCTGCTTTGGGTACATTGGGTGCATGTCTAGGAGCTTCTGAGCCATCGGGGCCAGGTGGCCGGCAGCAGTGCAACGAGGTTCAGCCGTTCAGTCGTTCAGCCGCGAAACCCCAGCCGCTCGCTTGAACCCAGCGAGAGTTGCAAAGTCTTCAAGGTGATCTTAAGGATTGGACGGAAGAGATGTGTTGTGTTGTGTTGCTTGTGTGTGGTCTTCTCACTTGGGGTGACTTCGTACTATTGGTGGTACCCTCAAGCTGAATGCGAAAAGGCGCACTGTGCTAGTTCGCAATTGAGATGCAACGGCATTCCCCTCTCGGCAAACAATCGCAGCAGCGCAACGTCGGTGACTTGGGAGGCAAGCCGAGGATGCTCGTCCAAAAAGAATCTCCACTTCAGGGTTGCTTGGGCACACGAGGGGGCCCTGTCCATGTGAACCAGGACATGATGGGAGACCCATCTGTAGCAGCGTTTTTGTGGCCATATTTCAAGATGGCCTAACTCTTTCGAACCTGTCAACCCATCAATGTAGTCTGTGATTGCTCTCACTGTGCACGCCTGTGCGCACAGCTGCACACCCGGTTGCATGAACACAGCTGGGCGCAATCTCGCCACTCCAACTTGGACGTACCTTGGCATCCGAGGTACCCATGGCACGGATGATGGCCACGGTTCGGGCACCAGCATCCCCAGTATCAAAAAACTGACTGCAGGCACTGCCGGCAAAAGAGAAACTACAGAATCTATGCAACCCTTCAAGGAGCGAAGCCCCGAGCTAAGCCTAACCCTAAAATTCAAATTCCTGGATTCCCGGGCCAAATTTCCTGCCTACAAGTGAAGCATAAACACTCGCGGTTCAACTGAAACAAGCATGGAAGTGTCATGGGCCTTGGCCGATCTCGAGCTACAAACTGCCTCCGAATGCCTCCTCCTTGTCCTCCTCGGGCTTCTCCTCGGGCGTGCAACTGAAAGGTACATTCGCAAAGCCCGCATGGTGAGGGTGCCGAAGAGGAAGAGGCAACGACAACACCTGCCCGCACTGCCCGTGTCTGAGTCCGAAGCGCCCGGAGCATGCAGCTCTCGAAGCGCAGCGGCGTCAACACAATCTCTGGCGGTTCTTGCAAGATGCCGTGCGCACGCTGCACACAAGAGCCCTGCTCCAAGAACAGCTTCCCGTTGAAGGGATGGAGTGTTTAGATGCGTGAGAAAAACCCCTCAATTTACATGAACGGGGCCACCTCGGATGCGTCCGTGGCAAGCATGCCTCAAGCACGGACATTTGCGAAGCTCGGGCTCTTGCCGGGCTCTTGCCGGGCTCTTGCCGGGCTCTTGCCCGGCCTGCAACAGGGCCGACCTGGGCAGCGCACGGGGGTTCTCAGAGGTTTCAGAGGTGGGCGTTCAAGCGTGGCAAGCACGACAAGATGCTGCAGGAATGGCGGGGCTCGCAGGGCTCACACGGCTCCCAGGCCTCGCAAGGCCCAGAGACGACTCAAACGACGCAAACGACTCAAACGGCTCAAACGGCTCAAACGGCTCATGTCAAGCTTCGTCACACTTGCCGCATTCAGCTTCGACTTCGTGGCCAGACTTGGCAATGGCCCATGCTTGCAAAACCGGCCGCGAGCCCAAACGAGACTGCGCACGACATCCCGTTTTGGTCCTGCTCTCTCAGGGGACTCGAGACGAGCGGGGTCGGCAAAACAACAGGCTCAGCTGTCAAGGGGCATCAAAAGCGGAAGAGGTCTGCACACGATGTGAGACTGCAACTTCAACACAATTCAGAACAATGTTTCAGACGCCTCCTCTCCGCTGCATGCACGGGACCCTGGAAACACGGAGGTGCCCACTGCAAAGGTGTCGGGCGAATCCGGGAAGGCAGATCCAGTGCGGATACAAGGCATCAGCGTTCCGCAGCAGAAGTGTCAGGGTCTGGCTCCAAGGCTTCGCAAAGCCGCGCACCTGAAGCCCATCTCGCCCGCGGAGCACGCAGCGCCGCCACCGAACTGACTGTGTTGGCTGAACTGACAGAAGCGACTCAGCTGCGACTTGCGTGAGGCTCGTGTGTGGCACCGGTGTCGGTCCACACCCTCCCGACTCCACAAAGTCCGTAAGATCCACAAGATCTGCAAGAGCTGCAGTTAAGAAGCCGCCGAGGCAGCTGCCAAGCGTAGCTGAGTTGCATCAAAGCACATCACAAGGTCAGCTCACTCCCTGGGCGCGCAAATGGGCGAAAATGGGCGACATGAACCCATTGCTGGGCGCCGCAGGCTTGCCACGTGGCGTGGCCCAGCACTGGCAGCTGGGCTGCAGGACTTGGCTGCCTTCTGCATGCACCTCAGGAGCCTCCATCAGTTGCGTCAGGAGCTCTCCTCCTTCTCGACGGTCAACAAGGCCGTGGCCAGCTTTTCCAAGGATCCAGGCAAGGATCCAGGCGATCCAGGCTTCCGTCGGATCTTTCTCTTGAAGCGACGCTGGGGGAGCTGCCTCTGGGGCTGCTCTTGGCTGATGCGACTGAGTGTGTGAAGAACGCATCTGCGGAGATGCACAGCAAAGAAGCCCAAGAAGCCCGGCTGTAGCTCTTTGGGACAGATCAGAATCCTCGGACTCTCAAAAGGCTCTTCTTCTTGGCTCGGCCTCGCCGCATCACCAGGAGCCTCCAAGGGCCTGAACACCCATGCAGCCAAGGCAGCCCATGCAGCCCAGGCCTCACAAGCCTCACAAGCCTCACAAGCCTTGACGGACTGGCACACGGCTCTGTTCTTCCGATCAAAAAGACTGGAGACCTCAGCGAAAAACCCCAGCCCTGCAGAGTTTGGCAAGGGTGCGCCAGGAGAAGAATCTGCTTTAAGGGAAAGGAGGCGCGGCACGTCCGCTGCATCCGCGGCGTCCGTCGTGGCGAGAAGATGCTTCTGCTTTCAGTCGGCAGGGCTTACGGAAAGGCTTTGGACCTGGGCATCCGGGACCACATCCTGGGAAGCACATCCTGACCATCCTGTGGGGGGCATATCCTGGGAAGCATGCTGGGGCACACCATCTCCAAGGCTCAAGGCATCCGACAAAGGATCTGGAGTTGTGTTGGACACATGCTGGGCCCAGGAAGTCATCGGTCTAGTCTAGGTGGGTCTCCTGTCACGGTCCGGTGCTTTATGCCTTTTGCATCTGCAGTGCTCACTAATCGAACTTCCGGCCTCCACTTTTGCCCGGAGCCCCTCAAAGACTAAGACCACCTCTCAAGACACAGGCATCGTGCACAATGACTTCGCAGCATGCGTTGCACCCGGGCCTTACCCACTTGCCTGGCACTCTGCAGAAGTTGAAATGCCTCAGCAGGGCAGAGTACTCCCGCGAGGGTTTTTTCATGGAAGATACTTGGGTGAATGGCCTCAATAGCTTGATCTGGGAATTCGAAGATGGTGGTCGGTGGAAGCTGCAGCTCTCCTGCCTGCACGTGCAAGGTGACAAAAGTGTCTCATATGCCCCCCAGCAGCGCGCAGGCACCCTACGGCCGCCTACGGCCCTGCCTGGACTGCCGCAGCGATGGCACGCAGCTCTTTCGCCAGGCTGGGCGCCGCCCCAGCGACCCTTGCATCCAGGAGCCTTGCCGAACCGTCTCAGGGAGGAAACTATGATATCGTGATTCAGACAGCCTGCCCTAGCTCAGCGGCACCACATACAACGCAAACCGTCCATGACCGTCACTTCTGAGTCTGAGGTGCATGGTGGCATGGATCACATCCCTGCGGAAATGCTGCACAGATTGCGCTGACCAGACCTCGGGGGGAGCTGTCTACATGGTGAACGCCCTGCACACGCTGTGTCACACGCTTGCACACCTGGGCTCTGCCAAGCCACTCGCAACTTCCCAAGCTCCACGAAGCGGCCACCGGGAGCCAGCACAGACAAACCTGTGACAAGGAGAAGGGAGGGACTGAGGACCCCCAAGAAAAGGAAGCAAAAGGGAGCGAGGACAACCCAACAAAAAAAGGGGACAGGGATTGACAGGGACTGATGGTCTCAACAATGGCAAGCCTTGCAAGAACGTAAGGCTTCGGCCCCTCGGGATGAAGTCGTCGTGCGTCAAAGAGTTGAGGAGGAAGTCCGCCCCCAGGCAGTGCTCCGGGAGGAAAGCAAGGAAATCCCGCACAAACCTCAGAGAAACAACGTTCAAACAAGAAACTGTCCCCTCTGTCCTCTTGGGTTCTTGTGTTGGGGCCTCCTCTCATCCACTCCTCCCCTGCGCCGATTCAATTGCGTGGAAAGCTGCACGTCGCCAGAGCGGGAGCTGGTCACGCGCGAGATGCCGCGCCGCAAGCGCAGGAAGCACTGCTTCTTGGCCTCAAGAGCTCCAGAGAAAACCCCCTTCGCTTTTCACCCGCAAAGATGACTTGTGCAGGAAGGACAGAGACTCGCCGCGACTAGCCTCAAGTGAATGACGTGCTCTCAGCTCTCCCCCCCCCCCCCACCCCCGCCACAAAAAAAAAAAAACACACACACACACACAAAACAGAAACGACTCTTGCTCTCCGCGCCCCAAGTGGCACTGCCCGCCGTGGCCAACATGGCCGCGCCCCGGCGCCGCATCGCCGCCAGGCAGAGAGCGCCCGTGCCGCCTCTCCCGTGCAAAAAATAAACACGAGAACACTTTCGAAGTGTCCTAAGTCTCTTCCCACACCAAAGCTGGGTCGAAACATCAACAACAAGAACACTTTGCTCCGCCCTATATCAAGAAAGATTGCTAGACATCATGAAAACTGCATAAGCAGTCACAGTACTAGTCGCACCGGAAAAAGCACGCTTTGCTTTTCTTTGAAAGACTGAGGGAGCTTTAAAGAAGCAGGGGCGGCACAGACCCCACCCCCCCCCCGCCCCGCCCCATTTGCACACACACAATGCCCGCACGACGGGTGTGGAAAGGATTCATATGGTTTCATGGTGGAAGTTATTTGAAGCAAGTTTGCACGGCTTAAAGCAGCTGGCGGCCTTGGGTGGCGTGCGGCCCAAATTTGCTAACAAGATGCTCGCACGCTGAGTGTGGAAAGGGTGTATACGGCTTTGAAGGAATGTTCACTGATGGCGCGATCTTCTTTGAACTTGCTTGAAGCAAGCTTGCGCCGCTTGAAGGGGCGGGGAGGTTGGGGCGGTGCAGCCCTCCTTTCATTTGCAAACGCAATGCGAGCACCCAACCCTTCTCCGCAACGTAAGGCTGCGAACCTTCCAGACAGTTCAGGATGGTTAGGATGTCAGGCGAAGAGGAATTCATCTGGCAACAAGCCCGTGCACAAGGGCTCAACTCGATTCCTTGTAGCTTAGGTTGAAGATTTAGGGTGCATTCCTCGACTTATGTACGACCCTTCGATCTGGCACACTTGCCACCGCCACACATGGCCTGCAGCCACGGCATTAAGTTTACTATGTCCTGTTATGAATAGTACCATTACTGTCGCTATGCATGAATTTTCAATAGGAGACTAATAGCAAAGCCCAAAGAACCAAGACATAGAGGACCACGGGACCGGGAGAACCTAGCAGACCAGAGCACCAGAACGGCGCAGACCAGGGGTCTGGAAGAACCCAACAGACCCAGCTCATCCTTGCAAATCTGTTTTGATGCTTACCAGCTATTTTGACGTGATCTGTGCTTTCTTTATGCTTCTCAATTGTTCTTGATACCTGTGCCAAAGTTGCGCGAGTGACCACAACTTGTGCCCCACACACTCCGTGCCTGCGCCCGCCTGGACCGCCACAAAGTCGCCAGGCAAAACGCGGCCCAGCTCCAGCGCAGCTGAGACGGTCCTCGGTACAGAGAGAGAGAGAGATGATGAGCAAGAGAAAGAGTATGAGAGAGAGCGAGTATGAGTGGGAGAGAGAGAGAGAGAGAGATCAAATACAAAAAACAAGAAAGAACACACACACACACACACCATATAAAGAACGAGCGGAAGAAATTGGCCACGGAAGAAAAGCGCACACGAAACGCAGGCCGCGAAGCAGGGCGACTGTGGGCAGCGAAGCCATGCTGGCGTAGCTTTGGCCCTGTGGGATCAAAGCTGCCAAACTGCCACTTGCATCAATGTACGACCTCGAGAGCAAGGCTCACAGGCTGACTCAGTTCGGTCAGAAAAAGCTCAAAACCGGGCAGAGCGCATTGAAAGGGGCAGAAAGGGGCAGAGCGCTGAGGGCCCGTGCCGCAAGCTGCCCGCCGCCAGGCCGAAGACCCGGTCGCCGCAGCGCATGGCAGTGGCTGTCGAGGAGATCACGAGCCCGGCCTCGGTGAACCAAGTGGGGAAAGAGTTTCCTCAAAAGCTTCAGAGAAGTAGCTGCGTAGCTCTCCTCTCTCAACTCCCATAATAGCATCTCTTCCCCCCATCGCAAGCACCCTTCTCTTCTTTTCCCCTTTTCCCCCGAGTCGAGCCATGTCGAGAGCCCGCACCGTGTTCAAGCAACCGGCACTGCACTCGCACTTTACTGGCACTGGACTCGTTGGACTCGCAGCATCTCACTCTCCTGCAGATCCGCACAGATGCGCGCGGTGCAGCTGCACAAGGCTGCACCATGCAGAGCAAACTGAGCATGTGTATGCGGCTGATGATGGCGGTCGTGGCCGAAGTCAGAAGCATCGAAGCTCCCGATCACCAAATCCAAATCGATGCTTGTATTCATCAAAAAGCGCCACCAGAGACTCGACGTAGACCTTGTGCCAATGCACCAGATCTTCAAACGTTGGGTCCGGGATTCTTGGCAGGTGCAGTGCCTTGCCATACACCGTATTCAAGCCCCCACCACGAGGCAGCAGCGGGCAAAACGGCTTGCCCCAGAAGACCGGGATCACGAAGCCAAAGGTCTGAAGGGGAAACACGTGCTGGTTGTGCGCACCACACGCATCGCCATACATACATACATACATACATACATACATACATACATACATACATACATACATACATACATACATACATACATACACACATACATACATACATACATAATCCGAGCATCAGTTTAATTAATACCCCCACATTTAAAGAATTTTTTTTTGGCCGGAAGCCCGCCGGAAGACTACTTTCCATTAGGGTGGATTTCGTATGGGACAAACCCCCCACATTTAAAGGAATATTTTTTGGGGGGTTCAAAAATCTGTCGGCAGGCTTCTTGTTTTGCTTGCGGAGACGCAAAGCTACAGCACCTCAGGGATCTGCAGCCTATTGTTTTTAATAGAGAATCAATACAGGGCCATGGTCCAACTATTGCGGAACCCTGCATTCCTTATTGTGGAGGGGGGGGGGGCCCCCCCATTTAATCAGAAGCTCGGATTACATATGTAAATAACATATATATATATATAAATATGTATGACTCCAAACTTCCTCTCTCGAAAACGTCCTCTTCCTACCACTTCCTCTCTAACTGTCGTGTCCCCCTCTTTCCCTGCTGCGCTCTACCCCTTGTCACCGGCTCGGAGCCTTGACAAGCCACAGATTCAGAGGCCTGAGACAGGTGAGGCTGTGGTACTGGTCGGTCTCCCCAAAGGTATAGGCAATGACCAGGCAGTATCCATGCTGCAAGGAGTACTTGATGAAGCCATACCGAGAGTTGATGTACACGTTTTCTTGGCCATGCTCATGTATGGCGACATCCTCACTTCCTCCGGGAATGATGCCAAAAGCCGTCCTGGCTGCAAGGAGCTTCTTCATGTTCTCCTGAAGAAAAAAGTCAACGAGATCACACACACACACACACACAAAAAATTGATGTGAGGAATAATTTCGAGTTCCATTCCCACCTTCGTGGCGGGCGTACAACAGTCCCACATGCGCAGCATGGGCGCAAAGAAAGGAACGCGCCACAGCACGGGTGCCTGCACCCCATCACAGTCCTGGGCAAAGGTGTTCTTGGCTGCTGACTGGGGGAGTACAATGGAGTACATCAAGCATGGGGCAACGTCGTTCCAGCCTCGGGGAAATGAAAAGACTTCGGCAAGTAGATCTCCGGCTGCTGAGCCTTGACGCGAAGGGCCCTGAGTACTGGACGCAGAAGAAGCACACTCAACATGTCCCACATGGAAGACATCAGAAAGCATCACGAGAAAAAGACAAAGCAAACCAAAGGCAGTGCAAACAAAGGAAAATGCTTCTGAATCTCCTGTCAGAAGGCGCATTGAAACTGAAGCCCAAGGGAAGGACGCCGTGTGGGTGGAAGCAAACCCTTAGTTTTTCCTCTCATACTGACTCATACTGACTCATACTGAAAACTGAATATTAAACCGATAGCAGGGTTGCATTTTGGTGAGAATAACTCTTTGCATTTTCGGATGTATCAAGGCTGTCTTCGGAAAGTTGACGGGCTGCTGAAGTCTATGGGTCTTTCCGATTTGTTCAGCCAGAAGCTGTGGCGAGAGTTGCAACCCGTGTGTGTGTGTGTGTGTGCGAGCCGCAGTCTGTTGCGATTTGGCGCACCACCAGTCAAATTGCCCAGGCCCAGAATCATGGCCTGTGCCAACGAAGCTTTGGTCATCCTGGGTACCTGGATCCCGTGCCTGCACTTGTGGTGAGCAACAAGCACGCAGCTAGACCTTTGCTGCCGTTACATCATCGCTGCTTGCTGCATTCAGCATATGAAGTCTTCGGGCCGAGCAGTTATCTGTGGAGACGTCCGATGAAGTCAGTGGTGTGCAGCATGTGAAGGATAGCAATGCAGCTCACAAAGCTAGACATGAGGTCATCAAAAGCAGCCACAATGGCCTCCCGTCCCCCCCCCACCTGTCCACCCACCCGCACCTTTGGCAGAATGTCGTGTCAATACTCCAAGCTACTCCCACTCATACCGCTACTCCCACTCCTGCTCCCACTCCGACTCCTACTCCTTTCCTGCTCCTCCTACTCCTCCTCCTACTCCTGCTCCTACTCCTGCTCCTCCTCCTACTCCTGCTCCTCCTCCTCCTCCTCCTCCTCCTCCTCCTCCTCCTCCTCCTCCTACTCCTGCTCCTGCTCCTACTCCTACTCCTACTCCTACTCCTACTCCTACGCCTACTCCTACTCCTCCTCCTCCTCCTACTCCTCCTCCTACTCCTCCTCCTCCTACTCCTCCTACTCCTACTGCTACTGCTACTGCTACTCCTACTCCTACTCCTACTCCTACTCTTACTCCTACTCCTACTCCTACTCCTACTCCTACTCTTACTCCTACTCCTACTCCTACTCCTGCTCCTCTCCTACTCCTAAGCAGTCGGAGTTGGGAGGAGTCCACAATCAGGCACACACCCTTTCTAAGCTTTGGAAGCAAGGGGGCAGGTAGCCGCGGCCCTGCAGAAGCTGCATGATCTCCTCCGGCACCCAGGCGGTGGCACCGCCCACTGCGCAGGCTGCCTTGAGGTAGAAGCGGCAGAAATGCTTGGAGTGCCGTGCCGGGTAAAGCACCGTGAGCAGAGCTGTAGCCACGAAGGCCAGAGCAGTCTGGTAGCCCAGAAGACGCCACAAAGAAAAAAAGAGGACTGGGCTTAGGGCTCCCAACTGCAGCCCGCCCCACACCAGCAGATGGGCGGCAGCCCCTTTCAAGTGGTCTAAACAGCTCCCGTCGCCGCCGATCCGATGGCTGTGTAGTGAGGAGTCTGGTGTGTCCGACATTGATGGACACGCAACATGCGGGCACCTACCCAATCTACCTCTTCTACCTCTGCCTTGAGCACAAGATCGGACGAGACGAGGTCGTCAATGAGATTCTCATCTCAAACGACGCTGCAGCTGCTGTGATGACGGGGCCCTAGCAAAGTCGCTGCCCAGGAGATCGGTCTGCACAGCACGCCTGGCAAGCTTCGGAGGTTGGGCCAAATTGCGCAGCGCCCCCCCCCCCCCGCCCGGATCCCAGCCCCCAACAAGCCTACCAGCCACACTGCTCGGCATCGCGCCCAAAGCCTTAGCTTGACACATCTGAGTCGAGGCTCTCCAGGTGTTGGGTGTGCCAAGAATACTCAAAAAACAGCAAAGCGAAATCTGCCCAAATCCGTGTCCTGGATGACGTCGAAGAAGTTCAAGCCGACCGCGCAGGTCCTTCGTTTGCCGAAGCCCCAGAAATCCAACTCGAAAAACACACAGAAACACATAGAAACACACATCTGCTCCCAAGAGTCCTCACCGTGCCGTGGTGCCCCGCGTTCACTCCTTCAGGGCAGAGTGAGTGCAGAAGGATTCAGCAAAAGGCACTGCAAGGACTCATTGAAAGCTTCATTGGACTTTCATTGGACTTGCCATCACTTGCCTTCATCTCCGGCCACTCTGGCTCGATGGTGTCAGGATCAGTCCTGGAAGCTGCTGTGAGCATCCGGCGAGCGCGTGCGTTGCATGCGCATGGGGAATGCGAAGCCCGTGCGCGACGGCCGCAGCTGCATCCCTCCAGCACCGACAGGACTCTGAGGACTCAGAGGACTCAGTTGCTGCCCATGGCGCGAGCACTTGGGGCGGGAGCGGGGGCCACCGAGGGGGCCACTGCAGGCACGAGAGCGGGCGTGATAGGGCCGGGGGCCAGCTCGTTGAGCTCGTTTTTGGCAGGAAGCTGGAGAGAGGCTAGCGGCACCTCAAAGCATGCTCAGAGGTGCGTGCTTGGTTCCGTGCTCTCATTTTCTGCTCTTATTTTGAAGTGGGGCTCGTGAAAGTCGCACCGGCGCTTTGCATCACTTTGCACACCTTCGCGCAAGGGCTGTCCCCGAGCACACGGGGGTGGGGGGTTGCTGTAGCAGCAGCTGCAGCAGAGGCAAAAACACCCGCATGTGCGGAGGAGAGCAGGTGCACCCCCAACGCCCCAGTTCCAATCAAGGCTCGTCACCAGCACCGGGTAGTCAGTCCAGGTACAGTTGTAAAAGATAGTGCCAGGGACAGGCAACGCCCATAACAAGCGGGCAACCTTGCTGGAGTCAAAGCACTGCCACGCATGGGCTTTTTCCAAGGATAGGATGCATGCACTTTGGAAGTTTCACAGGTCCAGCCATCTAGCCTAGCTGGAAGCTTCAGCTGGGATGCATTTGGGCCAGGTCGTCGCTTAGTGCTTTGATGCAGAGAGCACAAACCTGCTTGGCAGAGGACCTGCGAGTGATAAACAGTGATAGGCTGGAGAGCCGGGGCCGCATGTGCCGAGTGCGGCTATGGCGGCTATGGTGCCTGCACAACGTGATGGTGCTGACGGCGCTGACGGCGCTGACGGCAATGGCACTCTCCACTTCGTTGACATATCCATCAGTACTGCAAAGCCTTCTCTCGCTCGCGTAACCCCACTTGCAGCTGGCCCCGCAGGCTCTGCAGCTATGGCGGCAGGTCTCTTAGCAACAGCATCATGCATCAAAGCTAAGGCTTTCATTGCTTGAATTCGCATCAGACAAAAACGGCTCTCTCCATGGACGTCTCTTGCCTGCCTGGCAGATAGTCGGCACAGGACGGACGTGAAGGACTCGCCCCCGCGCAGACTCCGGCTGCCACGCAGCCTTCCAGAACTGCACAGGCAGTCTCAGCAGCTGACCACGCAAGCAACGCCCATCCACTGGGACGCCCGGAACCACAAGGGATTCTGGAAGGGCACGGAGTGTTGGGTCGAAGGGCTGGTGTTTTCGTGCTCCTGTCACTCAACGCTCAGAGTCCAAGCACAGGACGTCAAGAAAAGCTCAAGGCAAGCCCTTCTCTTGGTGTCGCATCAGGTACAGCCCCCAAAAACGGTAGTTCTTCTGCGCTAAGCCTTCAAAAGAGAGGCGCTATTGGCACGCCTCTTGCACCCCCAGAGAAGCCTCCAGGCAGTTGAGGGCGTAGGGGAGGGCCTAAGGCTTTACAAGGTCGCAGGTACAAAGCAAACTCTGATCTTTCTTCGCTCGGCCCGACAACATCGTAGAGGAAGAGTGTGAAAGTCGCCTGTCTCAATGCCGGGTCCTCAACCTCTCAACCTGCTCGCCGGGGCTACAGGAAGCTAGGGCATTCAAAGGGCGGCTGCCCAGCTTGGTCACCTCCCTGGGTGGCATGACCTAGCCTAGCATGGCCTGGCCTGGCCGAGCATGACCCAGCATGACCCAGCATGACCCAGCATGACCTAGCATGGCCTAGCCTGGATGCCAAAGTCAGTGCCTGAAGCCAATTCCTCCACACGTCCCCTGCGTTTCGAGATGCTTGCCAGCGCCACACGGCATGCACGGAGTGCCAATGGGGAAAAGGGCTTTCCCACCAAGCTAGAAATCTTGGTTTAAAAGCTCCACTAGCAGCGTTGTATATGCCTCATCTGAGCACTAGAAGCTACTAGAACCGTTACAAGGGTCCTAAGCCTGGTGCCCTTCTGCCTGACTGCCCTCGGCACAAGTGGCACAAGTGGGCACAAGAGGCACAAGCCACCAAAAGCATCCTCTCGCTGCTCTCGCTGCTCTCGCTCTTGAGATAAAAGCACTGCCGTTGCCAAATCCATTCGATCCATTCCCTTCTTCGGCTTCTCTCTTCGGTTTTTACTCGCTCGGCGAAAGCGCCTGGCAGAACATTGGGAACATTGGGGAGGCTCAGAAGAAGCCTGTGCTGTCGGGTGACGTGACTGCCGTGACTTTAAGATGGGTGAAGGCAAAAAGGCGGCCCCCACAGAGGTGTCGTCATCGGCCAAGAGCCAGGCGCACCCTCCAACTGATGCCAAGGCGATGACGTCTGTGACATCCATGACACGTCCCTAAGGCCCTAAGCCAGACACAGAGAAGACACCTCTGAAGGGACGCTTCTCCACGCGCACATCTCCAAATTATCATGTCTCGCCTCACTCAAAGACAACACCATCTGCTTGCTTCTGAAGAAACAACACCGGCAACACCCCAGAACCAGGCCAAGTCAGACCTATGCACCCTCATCCCTTCACGCACACACGTCAGCACCTTAAGTGTGAACCACGCAAGCTCGCGGAGCACTCGGAGCACGCGGAGCACTCGGAGCACGCGGCTCAGGCGCTTCCTCGGTCACAGTGAGATGGTCGAAGAGTTCCTGTAGCTGGGAATCGAAAGCCTGTGTGGCCGCTACTGTGGCCGCATGGTCATCACAATCTTACCTTGGAAGGCGGCGCCCCATCACTGAACATGCTACAATCATGCTACATCATGCCACATGATTCAAAGATGAAACTGCGAACTGAGAACTGTCCATTCGTGCGTCTGTGATGCCGACATGCCTGGCTTGTTTGAGAACCTGGAAAGCAGCACCCACCTGGTCCGGGAAGTTGTACCTGATTGCAAAACAGAAACTACGCCACTGCCTGGGCACTTACAGCAAGATTGACACGTCTAAACATGATGCCTGGTGATGGGTGGCACGCTCAGCTCGCCTGGCAGCAACAAACGAGATAACACTAGGCAGATCACACGAGAGTCTCAATTGCTTCAGCTCTCCACACCTGAAACTTGCGTTTGCGCCTGCAGAGATGCCACGAGCAATGGCCCTCAGCTCTGTCAGCAAGGTCGCGGGCGCCTGTGTGCCAAATGCAAGCCAAAACTACGCAATGTCCGTCACAAAAAATCTAGCCCAAATAGCACAACACAGCACAACTAGCACACTTTCATCGGAAAGCACCATGCCGTTCATTGCAAGACTCAGGAATAATAGTAATAATAGAGGTGATGAGAATACTAAATAATTAAGGGAGAAAGAAGCATGAAAAATATAAACGAAATGCCAAGTAAAATGTGGGTTTGTTTGCGAAGAGAGAAAAGTACGTCCATTATCCACTTCATTTATTATCTTGTGTCATTCATTCCTTTCTTCTTCATTCTAATATTAATTTCATTAGGATTACAAGTAAACGCAATAAAGGACTGTGTGAAAATATAATATTATAATGCACAAGAAATATGATTCAGGAATTCCCAAGCTTTACTATTAAATTTACTCGTTTACAATTCTATTTACTACTTAATGGTGCGAACGCATGAAATAAGCGAGCGCGTATTCGTTCATCTTTTCACTCGTGATCTCAATGCATTACTTTGTTCACACGTTTACACGGTTATCTTCTTATGTTTTTACAATTAAATTATAACTCCTAAAGAATTACTATGAAGAACATAATGTTACTAATAGAGAACGATATGAAAGATATGAATGTAGAGAACGAAATAGGAAAATGAACGTAATGTCAATAGATTCATAATCCTGTGAAGAGATTACACTTAAATTTCCTGCATTTGCAAGTTCATGAATTATATTCTTTTGGCCTTTTCAAGAGTTTACATTATATTTACAAAGGGCATAATTTAATATATTGTCCCCTCTTAATAATACTATTTTTTAGGGTCGTTAGGATCACCACTGTGAATATGAAGTTCACGCAGAGAAAACCGCCATCATTTCCTAAGCCTTTGTTAGTATTGTAATGAGGGACCTGTAGGACGTATATTTCTCTCACTGTCGCACCATGCAAGTTGGCAGTACCACAGCGCGCGTTCAGCTTCTTGGTTAACTTCGAGGTGGGGGGGTGGGTGGGTGGGAGGGTGGGAGGGTGGGAGGGTGGGAGGGTGGGAGGGTGGGAGGGTGGGAGAGTGTGGGAGGGTGGGGGAGGGTGGGGGAGGGTGAGAGGGTGCACTGGACCTGGGCGCTACTCACGTTGCTGACAAGGCCTCCGCCGTTCGCCG